TCCGCCGCCGCCTCCTGCTAGAAACTTGTCTTGCGCCTTCTCCTTTCCTGCCTCCTTTGTTGTCTTGGCTCCTTTCTCAGGAATGCACAGGCTGGAGGGAGCCAAAAATCGCGAGCGAGAGGGGCCCTCCCCCTGCTCCGCACGGAGAGCGGCAGGGGAGACGTGGGGAGCAGAAAGGAAGCCCCTCGCCTGGCTTCCGAGCAGCGGGGATCCGTGCAAGTAACGGGGAGGGGGGTCCCCCCAAATCGGGGACCGGTCAGCCGGCAGGGAGAAGAAAGCCGGAGCTCCCCCGAGGCTAAGGGAAACCCCTGTGGCTTGAACTCTGATGGCACATTTTGGGCAGGACAAAGGGACTGCACAGTGCCCCAGAGCAGGCTGTGTGTGTGTGTGTCTAATTCCAACTCCGGTTTGTTCCACTTCCAGGCGCTGCCCTTTGGCATCCGAGCCGGATTCTGCTCGCTGCCCTCTGCCAGGGAAGCCACGTTCATACAATCATAGACTATTAGGGTTGGAAGAGACCTCAGGAGGTCACCTAGGCCAGTTCTGGAAGCGCCCTGGTTTTCAAAACGACGGGCACCCGTGATTTGTAAAAAGCCGCTGGGAGCCACAACCGCCATCTGAATCCTTGCGCCGAATCTGCCCTCCGTTCAACGCCTTTGTCTGCGGACCCTTTTTTGGATCGTGGAGTTCAGACCCTCCCGGGCAGCGGTTTTCAAGCCGTGGTCTGTGATAACCCCTGCTGGTCCGCAGACTGTCTAAGATTTCCAAAGGGGGCCGCTCCTCCATCTGAAAATTTTTAGGGGTCCGCAAATGAAAAAAGGTTGAAATCCCCTGATCTAGGGCAGGGGCTTTCAACCTTTCCAGACTCCCGTACCCCTTTCAGGAGTCCGATTTGTCTTGCATACCCCTTTCTCTACTTCCACACCCTCACTTAAAAACTACTTGCTTTCAAAATCAGACATAAGAATACAAAAGTGTCACAGCACAGTTACTGAAAACAGTGCCGACTTTCTCATTTTTACCCTATAATTATAAAATAAATCAATTGGAATATAAATATTGTACTCACCTTTCAGTGTATCGTAGGTAGAACAGTATAAACAAGTCATTGTCTGTATGAAATTTTAGTTTGCACTCACTTTGCTAGTGCTTTTTATGTAGCCTGTTATAACACTAGGCAAATATCTAGATGAGTTGAGTACCCCCTGGAAGACCTCTGTGCACCCCCAAGGATATGTGTAGCCCTGGTTGAGAACCACTGATCTAGGGCAGTAGTTTGGGGCTGCTAATGCCCCTCCCCCATCAACCTAAGGTTTTTGGAAGTTCCCCATCTCCGGCCCAGATCTGTGATCATTCATTGCTAGTAAATCCTTTCCGTGGATTTTGTATCACTCCAGAATGTATTTAAATATATATGACACATTAATGCTATAGATTATTATTTAACTATCTATTACTTACCTATAGAAGAGCTCTGTATTAGCTCACTTATATTTCGGTAGATTGTCCAACCACTTTTAAGCCCCATTGTGCTAGATGCTGGACAGTCTAGACATAAAAAACCAACAGTCCCGTTGCTCTAGAATTTACGCTCTGTATTTCCCCTCTGGTTCCAGGCTGTCGTTGCCCCAGTTTTTGTTCTACATGCCCACCAGTGCCTACCCGTGGTGCAGACCCGCGTGTGGCGGCACTCACGTTGAAGGCGGCATGGATGTTTTTACCACTGCCTCCAATTCAGAGCAACTGTCGAACATGGGGATAAAAACACCAGCAGGTCCGGTCCCCCCTAGTTCCCCTGGGTGCTGCCCGTGGAGCACTATTCATGGACAGGGTAGACAAATACCAGGGCAGCAAGGCCTTCAGCAACCTGCAAAACCTAGAGGTGGGGGGAGGGAGGTTGGACCCAAATGTGCCACCTCTGGAACAAGCCTACGAGCCCAGCTGCATGTGTAATGCCGACAACACAGACCCTGGTCCTCAGAGGGCAGGATCAAACCTGGGATCTCTGGAACTTAGTGCATGAGCCTCTACCGCATGAGCTAAAAGCCAACTGGCTGTTAGTTAAGGCTGTAGGGCAGACTCATTAATCTCTCGCTAAGTGGTCTCGGTGCCACTAGAAGGGACAGAACACCAGACCCAGGACCAGGAGGTGTGGGTTACACATGCTGGCGCTCCAACAATCTGCTAATCTACAGTGCCAGGCAGCGAATTCAGCATGGCGACGGGCAAGTGGGTCCTAGCCTGCATCAGAGAGCAGACTACTGGCCCAGTCCCAGACAGAGCTCCCCCTTCATGTCGACTTTTAGGACAGTGAGTGTACATCTGGATGAAGAGGCGGCAGCATGGGGACAGGGGAATGGTGCCGGATCACCGGGGCACCCCATTTAAACCACCTCTATCTCAGTTTCCCCCTCTGTAAAATGGAGATAATATGCATGCTGGTAAAGTGCTCCGAGCGTCTTACACGAGAGACAGGAGCGAAAAGTTATGGTGCTAGTGGGGGAGGCTGCTATGATGCAACAGTTGGGGGTCTAAGGTCAAGCCTAAAAATATTAAGCCCGTTAAATGTTTTGCATTTAAATATACAGACACAGCTGCTTAAATAACAATCCAAGGTTCTTAACCTTCTCAAACGTATTGCGCTAACCCCAAACACTAAACCCCCATTGCGCTAACCCCAAACACTAAACCCCCATTGCGCTAACCCCAAACACTAAACCCCCATTGCGCTAACCCGAAACACTAAACCACCATTGCGCTAACCCGAAACACTAAACCACCACAGGAAAGAAGGACAATGTGTTGTGCTAACCTGTCCAAGGTTTTAATGGTTTTTTAAAACCAAGGAATTTCAGCTTAGGTACTGCCCAGCTAAGGGTGAGAACTTGGCCCCCTCACAGAGTCACTTACTACTTCATAGCTGAGATTTTAGACGTTCTGCTTTTAAAGTAGGAAAGAGATTCACAGGGAAAGATTCAGAGGGGGCTGGAAAAGGCCCTGGACTGGGACTCGGGCTCTATTCCTGGCTCAAGCACCAACTTCCTGTGTGACCTTCACTTTGCTTCTGTCTTGTCTGTTTAGACTATGAAGCCGGCGCTACACTCCAGACTTACACTGGTATAACTATGTCGCTCAGGGGTGTGAAAAATCCATGCCCGAGTGATGTAATTTACCGACCTAACCCCCGATGGAGACAGTGCTACATCGACAGGAGAACATCGCTCATCAACACAGCAACTAGCTATGGGGGCTGGATCACTTGGTGATGACCTGTTCTGTTCAGTCCCTCTGGGGTATCTGGCGTTGGCCATTGTTGGAAGATATCACACTGGGCTAGATGGACCATTGGTCTGACCCCATATGGCCGTTCTTATGTTATGTTCTTTTGCGGAGATGGATTAACTATACTGACAGGAGAGCTTCTCCCATTGGCCTAGGAGCATCTTTGCTTAAGCGCTACAGGGGCCCAGCTGCATTGGTGCAGCTCCGCGGATGCAGCATTTTAAGTGTAGATTTGCCTAACTGTGACACTAGCAGACCAGGTGTCAGCTCATGCCAAGGCCGCTAGGCCTCAACTGAAGACTGACAAATGTAGAGCCAGACTGGTTTCCAGCTAACCTGTGTGTTCATATTGGTAAAAAAGATGTTAAATTTAGAAGAATGGGTTTAGTCTTTATGGAACGCCTGTAGGATGCTGCATGTAGCAATCTCACTTATAACAGCTGTACCCCATGTTATAAGGGGTTTGCATTGTAAACCTCTGTAACTCACCCTGCAGGAAAGCAGCATTAACTAATGTAAGATGCTGGCTTCCTACAAAAGGCGTTAGTCCAGCCCACCACGAAGGCCCATTGAAACCAAACGAACCCTTGTGAATCATCAAAGAAAAAAAAGATTTTAACTGCAAACCTCCGTGTGAATTCATCCCAGCAACTTGAACTCCTGGAGGAAGGGAATAAAAATCGCCAAGAAGAAACCGGGGCTACGTCTACACTAGAGAGCTTACAGCGTCACAGCTGTACCAATGCAGCCGCTTTATGCCGACAGGCGAGAGCTCTCCCGCCAACATAATTAAACCACCCCCAATGAGTGGTATTGGTGGAAGAAGCTCTCCCATCGGCAGCGCTGTGCACACGCCCACTTGTGCTGGCGAAACTTACGTCGCTCAGGGTGTTGCTTTTTTCATACCCTTGAGCGACATACATTTTGCCGTCATAAGTGGTAATGCAGACATGGCCTGGGTCTCCGTGCTGCTTGGACTTCAGAAAGGGCAAGATTTCTAAGCATAAGCAAGGGATCCCCAGCTGCTTGGCCTGGGCTAGCCCTAGAGGACATCTAGAGCTTGCATATTACGGCAGCCTCTAGTACCTTTGGGAACCTAAGACTGTCACTCATGTATGTGTGTACCTTTACCTGCTTTAGCCTTGTAAATAACTCTCTTTTTCTTAGTTAATAAATCTTTAGATAGTTTATTATAGGATTGGGTACAAACGTTGTCATTGGTGTAGGAGCTAAAGTGCAATTGACCTGGGGTAAGTGACTGATCCTTTGGGACTAACAGTAACCTGAATATAGTGATTTTTGGTGTAAGGGACCATCTATCAAAAAGGCAAGCTTACCTGGGTGGTGTGATAGATTGGAGCTCCCATGGGGACTGTGACACCATGTTAAGGCTGGTGTAGTGCCTGAGGAGTTCACACCAAATCCATGGTGAAATCTATGTATAGAACTCACAACCAATTTGGGGTGTGTAACTTACTACTTAACAGGCTGCTCTGAGGTTGGTATCCCACCCCTTGAGTCACTCCAAGCAGCTTGACAAACTCTTTGGGAGTGGAAGGGGGTCTTATTGTGTGTTTATACAGCTCCTAGCACAATGGGGCTCTGAGCACAGTTGGCCTCTCCAGGCACTATTCATACAAACAGCACATCAAGCTGCTCCTTACAGGTGATTAGTAAAGAGCAACAGCTGGGTTGTGGCTTTTGTGATGTCTAATGAGGGTGTGGAAGATTCCCCCCCACCCCCCACTTGGTGCTTGCCTTAGAAACCTCCAGTCTGGCTTTCCCCAGTTTTTGCTGGAGGTCTCTTTGGAGAACCAGATAAGCGGAGCAGGGTCTTTCTCTGCCTTTAATTGACAGGACAGCAATGGTACAGCTTCAGCAGAGATCTCATCTCCTGCCTGTCCCGTGTTTGAGTTACAGAGACATTAACAAGAGAGAGATGTGCAGGCCTCAGGGGTGGGTATTGCTACCCCCCTTGTAACACTAAACTCGGCCTCCCTTATCTCACATGACAGCTCTGGCTCCAGCCATTCAGGAGCGGACTCTGAAGGAAGTCCCACGCTTGTCCAGCTAGGTTGGAGGGACAAGGGCGATGATGCGGGGAGACAGACAAACAGCTGCTCCCCGGAGGGAACACAAGAGAATCCATCGAAGGAAGTTTTCCTCCTTATAGGAGATTGTCCAGTGCTATCGGCCAGAGCTGCTCCCCCTAGGGCTCGGCCCTGATTGAGGACAGTCCTTTAACCAGCCCCGTTCTACTGTCTTGGCTTCTGAGCCAGGTCTCACCCCAGCAGAACTCTGAAATGCAGGCTGCCGTATTCTCTACCCGCAGGCCGCTCATCTGGTGGGACACGGCCCAGCTGTGATGCTGGGGGGATACTCACCGGGAACAAAGCCCACACCCCAAAGTGGCAGAAAAGAGAAGGCCAGGATGCAAATCCCTGCTGCAAAGAATTGTGGGAATATGGAGGATTGCAGGACAATTTGTTGGCTCCAAAGGGCGTTGAGAAGCACGGCTCTGTTTCTTCATTCCAGCCTTGAACAGAGGCCCCTGCATTAGCACCCCAGGAGAGGTGTGTGCAGTGCGACTCGGCCATTCCTTGCCTTACTCACACACAGTGCGTTTGGGCTGCGCTTCCCAGGCCACCCCCAGAGTCGTTTGCACAGAGACGATCTAGCTTTCTCCAGCAAGAAAATCTGCTCGCAGCCGGGCCCTCCAGCCGTAGGGCCGGGCCGGACCGGGCAGACTCTGCTCTTTTACACTAGTTTAAGTCTCCCTCGCCCCCTGGAGACACCAGCGCAGATTCCCTGACGCAGTCTCTCCCAGCCCGTGGAGCTGAAACCTGGCCAAGGAGCTGGGGTGGGGGGAGGGGGAAGAGGAGACACGCAGGGGGACCACACACCGAGCCCACTGCTGGCAGTTCCAGCCAGGGCTGAGCCCTCCCTGCCTTTCCCAGCAAGCTGAATGGAGCCAGCAGAAGAAAAACCCACCCCCATCACAGCGAGCGCGGCCTGCTGAAAAGCTGCAGCAGGGCTGGGGCCGTCCGAGCCGGGGAAGGCACCAAGGGGCCTGTTTCCAGGGAGGGGGCCTGGGGCCAGTTCCAGCTGCTGGCCTCGCAAGGGGTGTGGGGAGGGTTGGAGCCCAGGCAGCTGCTGGCCCTTTTCCAAACAGCCCACGGCCCCGTTTGTCGGGAGGCTAAGGAGCAATCTCAGCTCAAGACCCGGAGCCCCTTCTTATCCCCCTTTCCCAGAGGATGGGGTGGGAGAAGGGGCGTGTGGGAAGAGAGAGTTGTACTTCTGTGCTCTCCCTTTGCCGTCATGTAACCAGTCAGGGAGGAGAGGGCTGTGACGGAGTAAGGCGTATTAACCTGGTACTTACCACACCTGCTGTTCGCGTACAGGGAAGTGCCCCAGGAGTCTACCGGGTTTTCGCCTTTTGAACTGTTATATGGAAGAAGGACAAGGGGGGCTCTGGACCTGATGAGAGATGAATGGGAGGGGAAGGCCACTCCCGAGGGAGAGTCAGTGGTGGAGTATGTCCTGACCTTCTGAGAAGGACTTGCTGAGCTCATGGGCTTGGCCAAGCAGAATCTGGCCAGAGCCCAGAGGAAACAGAAGGTCGGGTATGACCGCATGGCGCGGGCCCGCGCCTACACCACCGGGTGATGGTTCTCATCCCTGTGAGAAGAAAAACTCCAGGCTGCTTGGGAAGGCCCTTTCAAGGCTGTCAAGCAACTAAATGAGGTAAACGACTTGGTGGAGCTGTCGAACTGGGCACACCACCACCGGGTGTACCACGTGAATATGATGAAGCCATATTATGACAGGGGGAATGTGGCGTTGGCCGTGTGTGGGCATTGGGAGGAGCAGGGAGATGACCCTTTAGTAGATCTATTCCCTGAGACGGGAGCTGGCTCCCCCCTGGAAACAATTCCCCTCTCTGATCAGCTGACCCCGTCCCAGCAAGTGGAGATCAGAGGGGTGCTGCATCTGTACCCACAGCTGTTTTCCACTCACTAATCTGACTGTCCACCAGGTGGAGACAGGATCGCACCCGCCTACAAGATGCTCCCCATTCCGAGTCACAGGGAAAATTGCTCAGGACCTGGAAAGAGAGAGGTCAGTGACATGCTGGCTTTGGGAGTGATCCAGCCATCTTCCAGCCCTTGGGCCTCGCTGGTGGTGCTGGTCCCCAAAAAGGACGGGTCGATCCGGTTCGGTGTGGACTATCGGAAGTTCAGTGCCATCACTGTAGCCAATGCCTACCTCATGCCCAGGCCTGACGAGCTCCTAGACAAGCTGGGAGAAGCTCGGTACCTTACCACCATGGATCTTACAAAGGGCTACTGGCAAGTGCCGCTGGATGCAGATGCCAGGCTGAAATCGGCCTTTATCACCCTTCTGGGGCTCTGAGTTCCTGGCCCTGCCTTTCGGCCTCAAGGGGGCGCCAGCCACCTTCCAGCGCCTGGTAGATCAGCTACTGAGGGGGCTGGAGAGTTTTGCCGTGGCGTACATTGAGGACATCTGTGTCTTTAGCCAGACCTGGGAGGACCGTTTCCCAGGTTAAACAAGTGCTGGACCGACTCCAGGAGACTGGACTGACTATAAAAGCTGAGAAGTGCATGATGGGGATGGCCTAAGTATCTTACCTGGGCCACTGGGTGGGGAGCGGCTGCCTAAAGCCAGAACTAGCCAAGGTGGAGTCAATCACCCAAACCAAAAAGCAAGTCCAAGCCTTTATTGGGATGGCAGGATATCAAAGATTTGTGCCTGCCACACTTTAGTTCCATAGCCGCCCTCATCACTGAGCTGTGCAAGAAGGGGAAGCCAGACAAGGTGGTCTGGACCAAGGAGTGTCAGGAGGCTCTCTGTGTGCTGAAGGAGGCTCTAGTCAGTGGCCCAGTTCTGGTAACCCCAGACTTTGACAAGCCCTTTATGGTGTTCACTGACCCCTCAGACACATGGTTGGGTGCGGTGTTAATGCAGGCTGATGAAAAGGAGGTGAGAGATCCCATCGTGTACTTGAGCAAGAAGTTACCTCGGGAGCAAAACTACACGGCCATCGAGAAGGAATGCCTGGCCATGATGTGGGCCCTTAAGAAACTAGAACCATATCTCTTCGGGCGACACTTCACCGTGCACATCGACCACTCTCCCCGACCTGGCTACACCAGATGAAAGGAGCCAACGCCAAGCACCTGAGGTGGAGCCTGCTCCTGCAGGATTATGAGATGGACATGGTCCATGTGAAGGGGAGTGCCAATGTGATAGCTGATGTGTTGCCCCAGAGAGGGGGCCCTGAACTTCCCCAGCTCACTGGTTAGAGTGACCCCGCTCAGTTCAGTCTCGAAGGGGGGAAAAAAAGAGATGTGACGGGACAGGGAGTACGAAACTGGTAATGTTGTGTGGGAGTTTTACTAGTTTACTGTCTGCATCAATACGGATGCTGGTGGGATATCAGGGTGACACTCCACTTGAGGGATCAAGTATCAGAGGGGGAGCCGTCTTAGTCAGAATCTGTAAAAAGCAACAGAGGGTCCTCGGGCACCTTTGAGACTAAAAGAAGTATTGGGAGCATAAGCTTTCGTGGGTAAGAACCTCACTTCTTCAGACGCAAGACATCTGCATCTTCTTGCATCTGAAGAAGTGAGGTTCTTACCCATGAAAGCTTATGCTCCCAATACTTCTGTTAGTCTCAAAGGTGCCACAGGACCCTCTGTTGCTTTTCACTTGAGGGATGATACTTGAGCATGTAACCTGAGCCCAGGAATCTGGACAAAGGCTGGAAGAGGAGCTGGGATGTGTGGCTGGAGGGGATTTCAGTTTGGAGCTGTCTGGGGAAACAGAGGGAGGCCCAGCACTGGAGTCTGGGCTCCCTCCCCCCAAAGATGGATCTGACTGAGGGGTCCTGTTTCCTCTACCTACAAGATCTGTTTTGACTGGGTTCCTGTTGTCTAATAAGCCTTCTGTTTTACTGGCTGGCTGAGAGTCACGGTGAATCACAGGAAGTGGCAGGTGCAGGGCTCTGACTCCCCCACACTCCGTGACAAGGGCCCACTGCAGCCCAGCAGGGCAGGGCAGCGAGCAGCAATGGGCCCCACTGAGAAGGAAGAGCTTGGCTGACCAGAAGGAAGAGTTTCCTGATAGCAAGGGGTCTGCTGGGCTGGGGACACTTATAAGTAGACAGGACAGCCTCCTAAATGCCCCAATCCTGTCCTGGCAGGCGTGCTGGAACAATCTGTGCTGAGCCACTGAACCAACCTGTAAACCCTGCATAGAATAGAATGGAAACCACTTCAAGCCGAGGGGTAAGGAGGGGGTAGCACCTAGGTGCACAGGTCAAGGAGCACGGCAGGATAGATTCATAGCCTTGAAAGGGACCATCACACAGATTTAGCGTGACACACATCACGCCGGCCTCGAATTTCACCCAGCCATTCCTGCACTGAGACCAGCAGCTCAGCATCACCGCAGGGCAGGAGCTGCTGTCTTGTCCCCAGCACTATTACCAAGTTGCATTCCCATAGCACCTAGGAGCCCCAGTCACCGACCAGGCCCCTGTTGTATTCGGTGCTGTACAAACAGAACAGACAGATGCGTTAGGAAAGAAGAGATTCCCCAACACGCACAGCTCCAGGCTAGCAACCAATTCCCCTTCCCAGAGTACTGTTCAGTCAGGCCCGGGGGCACCTGAGCAGCTTCTACACCAGGCCCCTACACACGGGGGCAACACACACTTGGGACAAGCGCCACCCCACAAGCTTGATAGACAGCGGCTCTGTTATATGCACTGACCCAAGTAATG